TAAAAAATAATTTCTAGTGGAACCTCTGAAAATGGAAGGGCTCCATTGTCACCTGAGTGACCAGACAGGCAACTACTGAGAAAGGCTGTTGGAAAGGGATTCCTGCATGGGGTAGGAGGTTAGCACAGACCAGTGGTTTTCAAACTATTTAACAAAGGAACCCCAATTACAAGATTGACAAAATACTATTTTATTAGTAAATTAGTTTTAAGTTTAAAGTATTACTTTCACTTGTTTAAAAAGCCATCCATGAGACCAATAAATGCATTTTAATGAAAGCAAACTGAGTGTAATGGCAGCTATATTCATATCCTCATCATCCATTTCAATTCTATATTTGTTTTGGATGCACTGAATCTATTTATAAGAAACTCAAATTAAGCCAGAAATAGACTGAGAGGAACTCCAGTTCAGGAACTTTTCTCCAAGGCAAAGCAAAACCCACAGGACGGGGTAGGCACCCAGTTAAAACTTCCCGAGTGTGTGGAAGAGTAGGTTGCAGGGAGGGAGTTCCTGGTCAGGCACCTGTTTCCAGAAATGGCCACGTCTGTGGCAGCGAGCAGCGATGAAGACCCTCCACCTGGAACTGGTCTCAATCTGAGCCCTTTCACCTAACTGTTTGGTTCTGGAGTCACTTAAGGAAACACGTGCCTGCTTTATCCAATCAAGGCATAAGGAGCTCTCAGTCTCTCTCCCTTGATTTTTTACCGAGGAGGACACCCTCTGCGCAGCCACAAGATCAGCACCATTTCCTCCTACAATCAGCCTGTTCCTCTCTCGTTCCTCCTCTTGCTTTAAAGTAACTAATAGAGCTGTTTTGTTATGTTTGTCATATTCTCCTCCAAATTTCAGCTTAGGTTGAGTGAACCTTCCCAAAGGAGATAATGTCATTAATGTTAATTTCATTCATTCAAATTCATTAATTTAAATTCAATTTCATTCTGTAAATGCTTAGGCATCGAACATACATCAGTGGGTTTACTTTACAGACTCTTGGGCTTCAAGTCTCTGAATAGTGGTTTTGTTTGATTAACCTCAGCAGATAAGATTAACTCCAAGTAGCAAATGATCATGGAGTACCTATTTTGTGGAAGGAAGGCATTGGCATGGGTTTCATATGTTGTATTATACTTGGTTTCAGCCTTTTACTGAAACAAGTATGGACACTAAATTGCTTTGGGGGGTCACTTTAGCTGATGACATTATTAGCTTCATAAGCTATTTTTATCGAGGCTGTTCTATCTACATCAGCAGATGTAGTGCCTTGTGATACAAAATGGCTCTGTTGATGGAAATGTGTTTCTCCTCTTCCCTGGCTGCTTGCCAAAGGTAGCTGAAAGAAGCACTGGGTGAACAGACTGAAGAAAATGACCACAAAAGAATAAGATATAAATAAGAGAAAGATATTTAGAAAATCCTCAAGTATTTGGAAACTAAATTACACAATTAAAATATCCCAAAAGGATATTTATTCTAAATATTTGAAAGAGAAAATTAGAAAGCAACAACTGATCAAAATTTGTGGGCTGCACTTAAATCAGTGTCAAGGGGAAATGTTATCACACTACCCACTTATATTAGAAAAGGTCTCATTCAATGACTTTAGTTTTCCCAGTAAGAAACAAGTAAAAGAAGAGCAAAGTAAACCCAAAGCAAGCAGAAGAAAGGAGATAATAAAGAACATAAATTAATGAAATAGAAAACAGAAAAACAATGAAGAAAAATCAATAAAATCAAAAGCTGTTTCACTGAGGAGAAAAATAAAGTTGATACTCTGTAGCCAGTCTTATCAGGAAAATAAGAGAAAAGACACAAATTGCCAATACCAGGAATAAGAGAGGTAAGTAACATCACTGTAGAACCTATAAATCTTAAATGGAAACTATGGGAATATTATAAACTTCTTGGCAATAAATTCAACAACTTAGATGAAAGGTGCACATTTTTTAAAAGACACAAATGACCAAAACTCACTCAAGAAAAAATAGATAATATGAATCGTCTTATATTATCTATTAAAGACATTGAATTTGTAATTAAAAACAATCCCTCAAAGAAAAGAAAACTCCAGGCCCAGATGGCTTCACTGGTGAATTCTACCAAATGTTTAAAAAGAAATGATACCAATTCTACACAAATTCTCCCAGAAAAGTGAGGAGGTGGGATTACTTCTTAATTTACCCACATTCTAACGGTCTGCCCAGGTTTGAGGGGAAGGGATGTGTACTCCACGTCTTGATGGAGAGTCTTGATGGAAAGTCCAGGGATTCCTGGATATGTTTTAGAACCATCAGAGACACTTTTTTCTAAAGACAGTGTGTGCATGTGCCCTTTCTCTCTTCCTTATCTTTTCTTCCATCCTGCTGCCTGGAATATAACTTTTACCAGGCTGGACCATGAGGTTGAGTCCAGGCCCTGCAGAGCAACAAGACGGAAGGGATCTGGGTCTTTGTAGAACATCACAGCAGCCCTTTACCGCCTACTTAAACTCTTACTTCTAACTTGGTTAAGAAAATGTTATTTTGAGGTTTCTGTCACTCAAAACCAAACCTAGTCCATACTGATTTACAAGGTCAGCAGCATCAGGCCATGAAAACCCTAAAAAGATGAATCAGTAAGAGTAATCCTAGGAGAACACAGGGAAAACAATACTCCCCCAGCCTACCACTCTTGAAAATGTCAAGCTATTTTTATGACTTTGCAGAAAGAAATCCTATATTTGACTTGCTATGGGTGCTCAAGGAGAGGTCTTCAAGCACTGGGGTACCTTTGCTGGATCCGAATTGTACTGTGTCTAATGCATGTTTGGGGTGCTGTGTGTCTGCAGCCAAGTGGAGCTGGCAGTCGGGTGTGTGTGCTCATCTGGCTTATCTCATCAGATTCTTTGATCAAAATGTACACAAATTCTCAATCAGAATATTCCCATCAAAGTCGAAATTCACCTCTTCACCCACAGCTTGGTTTAGCATCGTAAATGAGATTTGGGGGCAGATTCCAAAAACTGCTTAAGGCAGGGAATTAGTCAAGTAAGGAAATTATATGATGAGTGGTTATATAAAACACATATATGAGTAACACAAGTTAGACCCAGTCCCACCAGGATTAATATTTTTCTGTGTAAAATATTCATGCAGTTGCCTTTTTCCTGAGAAAAACTTTTTTTTGAAAAAACAAAGTGCCTGTGAAATTATTTTGTGAATTGTCTATCCTTTGACCATTGATTAATTGGGGTTTTCCTGTGTGTGATATTCCTGTATGCATCTCCCTAAATCAGGGATTCTAGCATAATTAATTCTGATGCATTTAATGTCATTCTTAGAAAATTATAAATGCTACATGTTGAGTATTGCCAAATGTTAGGCATCGTGGTTCCGCATGAATAATCTTTTGCTGATAATTGCTAGTGAGACTTATGGTTTACTGACTTGCTAGGATTCAAGGAAATTTATTGACTTAGAGCTAATTAAATTGTTGCCTGCTGTTTTTGAGATCGTGCCATAGAATCGTGCCTGTCATTAGCACAGCCTTTGTGCAGGAGGCTTGAGTTGGATTGTGACATGGACATTTGTCCTAAGTGCTTTCCTGGGGTGACGTAGGTAAGGAGGGGGGGAGTAGAATGGCTTCACCAAGGTTAAGGTTGTACATAGAAAAATTTCAATATGGGCACTTATTTTAGTTTTTTTTTCTTCTTCATCTTGTTTTGTTTTGGTTTTTGATTTTTCTTAGATTTTGGAACTGTATGCTTAAGCTCCTGTGTTTCCCTTCCAGAATTTCTCTCTGAATAAGAGCTCTAGTTGGCAGTCATTCTGATTTCTTTTAACATGTAACTTTTAGGAAACATTTAAAAACCATATATTTTGCTGCAAGGTTGTGAATATATGAGTCATTTGGGATAATTTTACCAAAAAAAAAAAAATACATAGGTTTTTCAATTTAAGATATGACTGCAGAAGCTATCGGAGTAGACCTAATCATCATTTGTGGTCAAATCTAGTCTATCATGTTCCTTTGCATCGAGTTTTTTAGGATAGAGTTGAACAGGAAGCCACACTGGGACTTGGAGTCAAACTGTCTCACTCTGCCACCCACCAGTTGTATGGTCTCTTTATCAGTGAGTGTCATTTCATCCCTTCTGCCTCAGTTTCCTCCTCTGGAAAATGATACTATCCTATAGGATTGTCGTACTAGGTAATTGTACTATTGTATAGGATTGTTGTAAAGATTAAAATATCACATATGTACAGCCTTTAGAAAAATAGGTAAATGTTGGCTGGCATTGGCATAATTAATTTTATTTTTTATCATCATAATTAAATGTCTAATAAAACTCACATGTATGCTGATCTTTACAAAGTTTCACAGCTGTCATCTCATTGAACCTCGACCAGACGTAATTAAATTGTGGACTATTTTTACAGTTTTGTTTTAGAGATGAGGAAACTGAGGTTGGAAAAGTTAAGAATCTTTTTCAAGTGACTCATAAGTGATAAAAGCGAAACTCATAATGACCTCTGCTGACGTCAATCTTAACTCTTTATTTAATGCTTCACTCTGTTTTCCCATCGTTGAATTTGGGACTGAAGGAGATATCAAAAAACATTTAATTTGAGTCCTTCATTATTAAACTGATGGGAAAATGAGATCCAGAAATAATGAAGACTTGCCCAAGATCACATATCTTGGAGAAAACCCACAATTCTCGATTACCATCTACAATCCTTTTTCCACGGCCATATATCACATAATAAAAGTTCCAGTAAGGCATTGAGGAAGTTCTGATAACATTCCCACACAAAGAATAAAATTTCCTTTTAGTAATTTGAGAATTTTAATATCATTACTTTTCTGCAAGCCAACCATTGTGGAATTGCTATAAAAAGCAAATAACATCTTTTCATCAATGAGTTATTGTCATACGCAGAGGATCCTTTAAATTTCCCCTTTGTAGCAAAGACTTTGCTTTTGATTTTGGTATAATTTCTCCCTTTCTCTTGGAAAAGGAAGAATGCCATGGGAGCTACCCTGTTCTGCTGTGACTATTCTCACGTGTGGCGCTTCCAGGAGCTACGAGGCATGTTTAAAACGCAACAAGGTCAGTTTTCATACGTGGTTTCCGGAAGCAAAAAGGAACAAGGACATGTTGTAACACACTTTATCTTGCAACCTCAGTAGAATAAGTGCATACGGTTTTGTGGTAGGTTTTTCTCATGCACTTCAGGACAGAATCAAAAGAGCCTATTTGGTACATAGGATGGATATCAAATTGTGTGTGAAGTCAACTCTTTCTAGCCTGGTCCTGTTATGGAAAACATAGGGAGGAAGTAATGTCTAGAGCAAGTGTTTATGATTGGTACAGCCAATGTTTTAAAGCAGTGGTCCCCAACCTTTTTGGCACCAGGGACCAGTTTCACGGAAGACAATTTTTCCATGGAGGGTGGCGGGGAGGCAGAGCTCAGGCCGTGATGCGAGCTATGGGGAGCGGCTGTAAATACAGATGAAGCTTCACTCCCTTGCCCCGCCATTCACTTCCTGCTGTGCCCCCTATGGAAGACATTTTTTTCCATGGATGGGGCAGGGGTGGGAGATGGGGTGAAGTGGTGGAGCACTGAGGCCAGGTCCCTAACAGACCACGGACTGGTACCTCCACAGCCTGGAAATTGGGGACTGCAGTTTTAAAGGAAGGAAATATGCCTACCACCATGCCTGAAGGGGTGATCTAGTTGCTCATCGGAATGGAAAAATTTCTGAAAAGGGCTTCATCTCCCAACCCCTCACCAGACCACTTGTTCCCTCTGACTCAAGGGAATGGTGTTTCTGACAGGCTACCACTGGCTCTCAAACGTCTCAAGACTTTGCCCATCTCAGAGCTTCCATCCTTCCTACCTTTCCATCTGCAATGCTCCTCCCACACCTGGCTGCATTTCATGCCCATCAAAAATGTTTTCCTTGACTACCCTATCTAAGCTAGGTCACCCAGCCCTGTTCTTTTTTATACCCACATCCTATTCGATTCTTTTACAGCATTTATCACAATTTGAAATTACTTACTGGGCTAGCATGGTGACTCATGCGTGTAAGTCCCAGCTCCTTGGGAGGCTAAAACACGAAGATTGCTTGAGCCCAGGAGTTCAAGTCCATAGTGAGCTATGATTGTGCCACTGCGCCTCAGCCTGGGCAACGGAGACGCTGTTTCTAAAAAAGAAAAAAAAAATTACTTATTGTCGTTGCAGTAGATATTCTATCTCTCCAGCTAGAGGTTAACATCCATGAATGTAGACAACATTCAACCTCACATTCAGTGCCTAAAAGGTGCTTGGTAAACATGTGCTGATGAATATATTTGGTTTGGTTAATTAGATGGATAAATGAGATAATTGCTAAAGAGTTCGATTTCAGTGAGACATTTAGAAAAAAAAATTCAACAAGATGAAATTCAGGTGTGACAGTAAAGTAACAGCTGTTGATTTCATACCAGGAAATTTATTTATTTACATTTGTCCTAGAAGTATTACTATAATTCCAACGTCAGAAGTAACGTATCATTTGACATCAAAGTAAAACTGGTTTAAATCTATAACACATGTGGTGATAATTCCAAATCCCTCCAATTCTCTCCAGGTTTAGGCAGAAGAGGCTGGTTTATGGTGATTTCTGGTCACCTCTGGATCCACCTTTCGTTTTTCTTGCATTGTTTAGCTTGTAGATATCTGTGTGTGTGTGTATACACACACATACATATACACATATACTCTCCTATGCTTCTAGATCCAGATGTGGAACTTGTTCTGGTTCCATATCCTGATCTAGATGTGGAACCAAGTACACACAAACACACCAACTGCATTGCTTTCCTGACCTGTAGATTTCTGCTCTTTCCTTTTGCAGTGGTCCAAGTGGTCTCCTGCCAAGTTATACCTTAGGGATATTACCCTAACGCCCAAGCTACCTTTCAAGCTATTTTTCTCAGGCAAAAATAGTTCCATCCCTAAAAGAAATTCTGGTGCTGTTAAAATAATTCTTTAATCCCCTCATTGCATTAGTTGAGGTCCATTCAGTTATAAATTATAGAATCCAAACCAAGCTAAGGTAAGCAGGTTAAGAAATTTATTGTAGGGATACTATGGTTTCTTTTTCTTTCTCTTTTTTTTCCACTTCAGGGATACTGGGGTCTCTAATGGTACCAGGCCTAGAAGCAGTGTCTCACAGTGGAAATGCCGATTTTAGAGGCATCGTGTTCAAGGAGCACAGGTAATTCCCACAGAAAGAGAATCAGTCTCATTCCTCAAAGAGATCACGTTCAGGTGAGTCATTGCCTGTAGAACGCTTCACAGAATTCAGAGCACGTTGACATATAACCATTTTCAAATTTTTTAAAAAAACACAGTCATGGTTTCATTTAAAAAAAAACAAAAATTGTTATCATGCAAGTGAGATATGGATGGGAGTGAGAAGAAATAATTCATTTTTAAACTAATGGTGCCAGAAATTATATTGACCTTTGAAGGGATCATCTTGAAAGTCTAGTATTTGTTCTAACAATGCTGTCATTCTTAGCATTTTTTGTGCACCCACTCTGGGTTTCTATGAGATATATAATCAATATTTAACTCCTACAAAATATAAAATAAAGCTATTATTTTATCTTATCACAGATGAGAGAACTGAGGCTTGGAAAAGTAAAGTAACTCACCCAAGATTTCACATCTAGTAAATACTGGTAAGAATATTCATTCACGGGCTCAGACTCTAAAGACCTGACTAAAAATCGTTCTCCTTCTAATAATAAGAAAAAAAGTTTCTAAAAAAACATGATGATCTAATATATCTAAGAGCATATATTTTATCCAAATGAGAGAAAAGTCTTTAAGAACACGGATCTACGTGGATTTCCCCAATTCCCTTCTGAAGCTATGACTGGCGGGGTGGTTCATCTTGCAGGTGTTGCAGCACCATCTAGTGGCAACATGAAGACATAGCCCCAGGGAGTGATTTTTCTCCATTTAACAACTGACTCCATTTTTAAGGGTGACAGATTAATGGGTCTTCTGATTGAAAATCAAATGACCAAATATGTTTATCTCCTCTACCTCAAAAAATTTCACTAAAATGGAGGTCATAAAAGAAAAATGTTATTAATCCATAGAGACAAAGAGAACTGGAGATGAACTCATAGGAAACAAAAGACTTCAACAAATATTAATACTTAGAAGACAGAAAGAGGACAGAAGGTGGCAACTGACACAGCAGAGCACAGGGAGTTAGGGATAGTGTCCCGCAGGTGGAAGTTGTTCTGTCTTGCTCTGAAGATTGCCTGAGGGGCTCAGAATTGAAGGCATCATATTCTGTGAGCAGAGGGTTGAGGCAGAGGCTGGAAACAGGGCTGGATTCAGGCTGTTTGCCCAGCTACCCCCATGGGATCAGGGGGTTCATTCTCTGGATGGTTTGAGGCCCAGGGCTCTGATCTCAGGGCAGGCAGGCTCGGCACAGACTAGGAGGACCAAGAGGGGAAAATAAAGGAAACTCCACATAATGAATGGTGAATCTTCAGCCTCCTTTCCACACTCTGCCCCGATGCTCTTTTTTGGAGAAACCAGAGAGCCCTGGTGGAAAATACGGCCGCCCAGAAGTCCCTGGGGAAGAAGGCCGGCTGAGTGCTGGGTCTTTCCTGAAGGCAACATTCAACAAACTCAGCCCTACTTGTTTGGGTCTCTCTCTAGAACATGAATAGATGGCCAAAGGTCATCAGCCATTTCAGGCAAGTCTCCAACATGAAAAATACAAACCAAAACCAACTCAGGGGAAACAAAAGCTGCAGGGGAGGGCAAAAAGCTCCATTTAATATTAGAAGCTGGGCGTGGTGGCATGTACCCACAGTCCCAGCAACTCAGGAGGCTGAGGCTGAAGGATTACTTGAGGCCAGGAATTCAAGACCAGCCTGGGCAACATAGCGAGACCCCATCTTTAAAAAACAAATATCAGAAGACACTGTTCTGTAAAAATAAATAAATAAATAAACCAGAAAAAAATTACAGAGTTCTTTGAAGTTTATAAAAAATTGTAACTGAAATAATAATTCATTATAAGGTTTTTTTTTTAATTTCAAAAATTTAGAGGGTGCAAGTGTTTTTTGTTATGTGGATAAATTGTTATCATGGTGAAGTCAGGGCTTTCAGTGTATGGTCACCACAATAGGGTACATTGTACTTGATAGGTAGATTTTTATCCCTCACTCCTTTCCCACCCTCCCCATTCTTAGTTTCCAATGTCCATTACTGCTCTTTACGACCATGTATATCCATCATTTCGCTCCCACTAATAAGTGAGAACATGTGGTGTTTGTTTTTCCATTCCTGAGATACTTCAAACAGGATAATGTCCTCCAGTTCTATCCAAGTTGCTGCAAAAGACATTATTTCAGCCGGGCGCGGTGGCTCACACCTGTAATCCCAGCACTCTGGGAGGCCGAGGCGGGCAGATTGTTTGAGCTCAGGAGTTCGAGACCAGCCTGAGCAAGAGCGAGACCCCGTCTCTACTAAAAATAGAAAGAAATTAATCGGACAACTAAAAATATATAGAAAAGATTAGCCAGGCATGGTGGCGCATGCCTGTAGTCCCAGCTACTCGGGAGGCTGAGGCAGGAGGATCACCTGAGCCCAGGAGTTTGAGGTTGCTGTGAGCTAGGCTGACACCACGGCACTCTAGCCTGGGCAACACAATGAGATTCTGTCTCAAAAAAAAAAAAAAAAAAAGGACATTATTTCATTCCCTTTTATGGCTGAGTAGTACTCCATGGTGTATGTTAGGCAAGAACCAAATCTGCAGGTGGCAGATACAGGCCAGAGGGCGGTTCCTAGGGATAGAGAAGCCAGGGGAAGGGACTGCAGGAAAATGCAGCTAACAACCACAAAGAGCAGGAACTTGAGGTTTTGAGCATACACACCTGTGGGGCTGCAGCTTTGTTATAAGAACACCTGTCAATCATGTATATCAATCATCTGGTAACATCCCACACCTCCCGTAAGCCCTTCCCCAGACCAGGTCAATAAAAGGAAACCACTTCGGAGTCCCACGCGTCTTTCTCCACTCGTGGAGACTGACCCGTTCCTCTCTGGAAAGTACTCTTGCTTTTTGTATAGCTCCCTTCTTTTATGCAATACAAGCTGTTTTTGTGGAATTGCTTCCTGTCTATGGTCATTCCATCACACTGGCCTTGCTTGTGAATTTTCCAAGAAGAGCCAAAGAACCAGGAGAATAGTCTGCCAAGAGGCCAGACCTTACGGTATGTATGTATATGTGTGTGTGTGTGTGTGTGTGTGTGTGTGTGTGTGTGTGTGTGTGTGTGTGTGTGTGTATCTTTATCTACTCATCAGCTGAGGGGCACTTAAGTTGATTCCCTATCTTTGCTATTGTGAATTGTACTGTGATAAATATTTGAGTGCAGGTATCTTTTTTATAAAATGACTTCTTTTCCTTTGGTTAGATACCCAGTAGTAGGATTGCTGGATCTAATGGTAGGTCTACTTTTAGTTCGCTGAGGAAGCTCCATATTGTTTTCCATAGAAGTTGCACTAGTTTTCAGTACCACCAACAGTGTGTAAGTGTTCCCTTTTCACCATAACCACATCAACATCTATTGTTCTTTGACTTTTTAATAATGGCAATTCTGACAGGGGTAAAGTATTACCTCATTGTGGTATTAATTTGCATTTCCTGATAATTAGCAATGTTGAGCATTTTTTCACATTTGTTGGCCATTTGTCTGTCTTCTTTTGAGAAGAGTCTATTTATATCTTTTCCCCATTTTTTGATGAGGTTATTTGATTTTTTTCTTCCTGATCTCTTGGAGTTCTTTGTAGATTCTGGATATTAGTCTTTTGTTGGATGCATGGTTTGCACATATTTTCTCCCATTCTGTAGGTTGTCTGTTTGTTGATTATTTCCTTTGCTGTGCAGAAACTTTTTGGTTTATGTCTCATTTATTTATTTTTGTTGTTGCTGTATTTGCTTTGGGGTCTTACTTATAAATTCTTTGCTTAGGCCAATATCTAGAAGAGTTTTTCCTACATTTTCTTCTAGAATTTTTACGGGTTCAGGTCTTACATTTAAATCTTTAATCCATCTTGTAATTTCTGTATATGGTGAGAGGGATCCAGCTTCATTCTTCTGCATATGGTTATCCAGTTTTCCCAGAACCATTTATTGAATAAAGCATTATTTCCCCAGTGTCTATTGTTGTCTGCTTTGCCAAAAATCAGTTGGTCATAACTATATAGTTTTATTTCTGAGTTCTCTGTTCTATTCCATTGGTCTATGTCTCTACTTCTATACCAGTTATACTAAAAGCATACTGTTTTGGTTATTATAGCCTTGTAGTATAATTTGAAGTCAGATAATGTGATGCCTCCAGATTTGTTCTTTTCACTTAGGATTGCTTTGGCTATTCATGGTCTTTTTGGCTCCATCTGAAGTTTAGGATTATTTTTTCTAGATCAGTGAGAAATTACATTGGAATTTTGATGGGAATTGCATTGAATCTGTAAATCACTGTGGCCAGTATGGACATTTTAATGATATTGATTCTTCCAATCCATGAGCATGGGATGTTTTTCCATCAGTTTGAGCCATCTATGATTTCTTTCATCAGTGTTTTGTAGTTCTCCTTGTAGAGATCTGTACCTACTTGGTTAACTATATTCCAAGATATTTTATTTTCTTTGTAGCTACTGTAAATGGTATTGGTATTCTTTTTTTTTTTTTTTTTTTTTTTTTTGAGACAGAATCTCGCTCAGTTGCCTGGACTAGAGTGCCATGGTGTCAGCGTAGCTCACAAAACCTCAAATTCCTGGACTCAAGCAACCCTCCTGCCTCGGCTTCCAGACTAAGTGGGACTACAGGTACTTGCCACCACGTCTGGCTAATTTTTTCTATTTTCAGTAGAGGCAGGGTCTTGCTCTTGCTCAAGCTGGTCTCAAACTCCTGACCCCAAACAATCCTCCCGCCTCAGCCTCTCAGAGTGCTAGGATTACAGGTATGAGCCACCATGCCTGGCCTGGTATTGTATTCTTGATTTCCTTCTCAGTTTAACTATTATTAGTGTATAGAAATGCTGATTTGTGTACATTAATTTTTTAACGTGAAACTACTGACTTATCAATTCTAGCAATCTTCTGGTGGAGTTTTTAGGGTTTCCTAGGTATGAGATTATATCTTTGACAAACAGGGATAATTTGACCTCCTCTTTCCTGATGTGGATACCCTTCATTTCTTTCTCTTGCTTGATTGTTCCAGCTAGGACTTCTGGTACTGTATTTAATAGAAGTAGTGTTAGTGGGCACCCTTGTCTTGTTTTAGTTCTTAGGGGGAATGCTTTCAACTTTTCCTCATTCAGTAGCATATTGGCTGTGGGTTTGTTATATATGGATTTTATTATTCTAAGGTATGCTCCTTCCATGCCCAGTTTGTTGAGGGTTTTTATCATGAAGTGATGCTGAATTTTATTGAATGTTTTTCTGCATCTATTGAGATGATAATATGATCTTTTCGGAGCCAACTTTATACATGGGAAATCTTATGCCTCAATGGGTGGAAAATGAAAGTTAAATGTGGATTAGGAATTTTAATGATATCTTTGATTGCTCTATAATCAGTCGGAAATAGAACATTGGTCCATTCCTCTTAACCTACCTCACGGGTTGAAGGGAGCATTGCCCGGAGGCCTTCACCCTTCTGAATGGGCATCATTTGTTATGTTCTTTTTCTGTGGGTTGGATTAAATGTAAATGAGGCAATGATTAGAAATTTATTGCTCATAATAGGCTCTATAGCAGACTCCACTGCAAAAGCTATGGTTGCACAACACACTTCTTTAAATTCTTCTTGCTAAGTTGTACTTGATAATAGAATTGCTGTAGATTATCTACTGGCTGAACAGGGAGGGATCTGTGCAGTTGCTGACATTTCTTGCTGTACATGGATGAATTCATGGGGTATTACAGAGATTCAGTTGCAGGGTATTAATAAACAGGCTGCTCAGTTAAAACAAGTAGATTCTTCAACTGGTTCATTCTTTGATCTATTTGATTTTACTCAACTTAGTTCATGGGGACCATGGCTAAGGAGCACACTTCAAACTCTTAGTATTTTCCTCCTGATAATCATAATCGTAGTATGCCTGGTGCACTGTATTCTCTCAAAAGTTTTAAATGTTTGCATGCAGCCATCTGTAGAAGGTCAGATGGTCTCTCTTCTACTGGAATGACAAAAACTCAACAAAATGGGTGGTCATAAGGATACTATAACCTATGAATGACGTGCTGAGTCCAGAAACCCAAAAGGATGGTAACTGAGAGTGGCACTAAAGCCTTTGGCTTTGGACACACTCTCATCTCAGTAAAAACCTGACCAAAAGGGGTGAATTGTTAAATTATGGGAAGCCATTGTTTTGGACTGAGCTCATGCACTAGGTCCCAATAGACCAAACCAAAATGGAGTCACTCATGCTAAATGGTATGTAATCAAACTGAAACTTTAAGGATGAGATAGATCCCAAAACAGACCAGTTTTTTTTTTTTTTTCCTTCCTGGAAAAAGGAATTTCTAGCATAATAAAGAAGTCCTCTCTGCTCTAGTCCTTACAAAAAAGTAAGCTGATA